AACGAATTCGTTTTTAACATTACTTTCGCGGCGGAAAAATAAAAAATGGATAGCGAGAAGTGATTGAGCAGAGGGGAAAACATAGGGTTGAAAAAAAAGAACGCTGTTGTGAGATAAAAATTAAGAAAGATAGAAAAAGTAAACGTTACAGAAAGAAAGAAAGCCTGTAGAAGAAATAGTAAAAAAACAAGTAAGGACATAAGATGGAAACTACAACCGAATAAGTGAAAAAAGAAGTAAAAAGAAAACGAAAACATAATTATAAGTAAAATTAAAATATAAGTTAAAAGATGAGAAATGTAAAGTTCGGTTGTAGCATGGGGTGGTAGGCAGGTAATCGGGAGGCCCCATAGGGGTGCAGAAACCGGTCAACTCGGCCGGCGTTGTTGATTCGGAGAATAAATTTCTAAATAAAATTCACGTCCGTATCAAGTTATTTTATGTCAATCATCTGTTTTTCGTATTCAATTAATTTCCGGTGGCTTTTTTTTGTTGTCGTGGTGAACGGGAAATTTTCTAAAATGACCCAATCGTTCGCAAGACGTAGTAGTGTTCGATACTTTCTGCGGAGGACTTACTAACCAATCCACTCTCCCTTCTGCAAATTGTTATAGATTCCTTTGGTAAATTGTAGTTTTTTTGGGTTTTCTGGTTTGTGTTTAAGACTGAGAAGTGACTGTTTTAGTGTTTTGGTTGTAATGGGGTTTGGATTCAATCACCGTTTTGACAAATTTGACTTGAAAGTTGTTTCTGAGAGAAAAATTGACCCAGTTTTATTTTGCTTCATCAGGTGAAGTCAATTAGTATTTAACATACCTATGTATTTTGTATGCACACATATATCCTCTATGTCGAAATGTAGGGGTGAGTATATTTAACTGTTACTAGGTAGTATAGTGTTTCGATAATTGACTCTTAATTTAATTTAATTGATGAGATTTCACTCTTGTATGTGAGGATCTAAACAAAGCATAGCGGGCAACATATGCGGAACCTCAACTGGCTTTTAACAATTCCGATTAATCGATGAATAAATTTACCTGCTTTGCGCGGTGCAGATATCGTTAAGAGAAACACATGTGTTGTCTGTGTTTCCACAAAGCAGAGTTTAATAATCCGAGAGATATTTTAATAAAGGGAATGAGATGCGAAGCTAATACATCGACAGATTTGCCGTGTTGGTTGGATATGTACTGAAGTGGAGCTTTCGCCTTTCATGAGCTACTAATCGATTTTGGCGCCCGACAGCAGGCTACGAGCATTCCGATCTGCATGTTAAATCAGTAAATTTATACTTCGCTTGCCTCACTGGCAGACTCTGCCGGATTTACAGTGGAATTAAATTCAAAAAACATGAAACAGTAACCGTGTACATCTAAACATGAACTCTAAATAAAACCTATCTACTTATTTGTATTAACATCATACATCTATCGAGATAGGTTGGTAGGACACCTTTTCAGGCATGAAGGGCTGGTCAGGAACATGTTAGAGGCAGAAACAGGAGTTAAGAGGAGTAGAGGTAGACCTAAGTTAGATTACCGTTCACAAATAGTTAATGATGTGGGATGTTCTAGTTTTAGTGAAATGCGAAGATTACCTTAGGATAGGATGCGTGTCCAACTAGTCTTAGGACTGACGAGCTTATGAGGACCTTGGACAAACGTTTTTAGTCTATCTCCAATCTCTCAGAGTCTTTCAGCATCTCTGAGAGCATCTCTCACAGTCTTTCACAGTCTCTCAGTTATTGTCTAGGTGTTTTTATGAATCTCTCACAGTCTCTGAGACTCGAACGATAAAATTGTTAATTCAGAGATTCGAGTCTCTCGTAGAAAGACTGGGATCTCTGAAATATGTTGAACTTGAAAATTTTAACCATGTCTATCGAGACACCACTTATTGAGAGATTCGAGTCTCTCGTTCAGAGACTGGATACGAAATGAAGATCTCTCTACAAGCGATTCGAGTCTCTCGTTCAGAGACGCTAAACAGGTTTTTTGACAGTCTCTCTCAGGGACACCGGAGAGACTCGATGAGAGACGGAGACTCGAGTCTCGCTTTCAGAGACTCTGAGAGACTGAACATTTTTATCTAGATGATCACCTATGGAAAGGAGTTAAACGGTTTTAGCTAGGTTTTTGATTATAATATAATGCAACCATCAAGAAATTGATTGAGAATGTCTTGTATTTGTTACCACAACTTCAAAGAACTCATTTTCGGTTTGGTTCTGTTTTCAGTAAAAGTTATTCATGAGCAATGTGAAAACGGAAAGCACTTGATTCAGAATTGTCCTTTGTTTCAAGCTGATGTGATAGTAATATTGGTAACATTCATTGAGTTTTGCCTGCATCTTTGGATTGGTTACCCCTTTTAAGCCAATTTATTGTATTAGATTTGTTGTTTCTTGCTTATACAAATTGAAGTGATACAAGAATCTATTGGGGAATTATGAAATATATTAAGTCTTAAGTTCGATTATTATGCTTTATCGATTCAATGAACGAATTACATTAAGATAGTTTTTTTTATATCACCATGATTGTTCAGCTGATAAAAATTAATCAAAGTATCCACTCAACTTTTATTAGCTACTGCATTGCATAATTTTCTCTTAACTCTAACAACGGCTGCATCATTTAAGCCGGAAGCTTACAGTCGTGACGGGAAGGTCAGGGGCCTTCTGCGATTGGCAGCTATTTGAAGTAAAAGTTTTTAAAACTATTAGGAACACTTTTAAGTTAATGATTTTAATTACATAATGCACTTTCATTTTAATTATGACCTTGTCATGCCTATTCAGTTTCATCTAGTATTTTAGGTATTTTATATATAGTTAATAAATAAGGGTTATAAATGAACTGGTCAAGTGCAGGTGGGATTCGCACACTGAGGTGCAGTAGGTGCTATTGAAACCTCTAAAACAGAAGTTCTTAATCCGAGGTAGAAGACTCTTCGGTTGCTTGTCTGAAAATGGAAAAATTGGAGAGGCGTGGGGTCATCAAATACTTATATTTATAAGCCTAAAATCGGTTCAACTTTTCTAGGTCGTATCAAACAGTCGGTTGATTTCCGAATTTAAGAAAAGTCGTACGAACACTGATGATATACCACGGGCAGGATACCCAACTGATGTCACAAAACTGTTGAAATGTTTGAGTATTTACGTAAAATCATGATAGAAGATCGCAGATTGAAGTTGAGTGAAATGGCTGAGATTATTGGGATGTCAGTTCAACGTGTTCACAATCTTTTTGGATCGTGGTTATCTTTTTTGATAACGCTGGGTCAAAAATTAAGCTGAAAGATTTCAACGGAAAAATTTGGCAGTGTATTATAAGAGAAATGTCAGCAAATTTTTGCATCAGTTTATATTTGTTGATGAAATGTGGGTCCATCATTATACTCCTGAAAATAAGCAACAGTCGAAGCAATGGGATAGACTAAGTGACTCAACTCTAAAAAAAAACAAAAAAGAAAGATTATGGGGTTTCTTTCTTGGGATTCGAAAGGAATTATCTTCGAATAACTGAATAACTACAGATAGCATAGTCATAGTTGGTAAGATCTATTGTGATCCAAGTCGCGATCCGTGTCTGACGGTTGTTTTATTTTGAAAGTATCTTTATTGATAATATAATAATCTTGAGAATGGTAGAATTATCAATGGTGAATAGAATGTAGAGGTATTACAGTATTTGGGCAATAAAATGAAGGAAAAACGATCTCATCAAGTGGAGAAAAGTATTTTGTTCCACTATGAAAATGCACCCCTTTATTTGTCAGTTGTTACAAGGCTAAAATAAACGACCTGAAGTTCAAATTGTTCCCTTATCCACCCTATTCACCAGATTTTGCCTCGACCGACTATCATCTGCTCCTAAGTTCAAAGAATGACTCGAAGATTTGTGAGCAACCACGGAGTTAATAATGATATCAATGAGTATTTTCAAGAGCTTGACAAATCGCTCTATAATGATGGTTAGACATCACTACCGCTACAAAAAAATGTATTAGATAGAACAGACAGACACACGAGGATCCTATAAAGGTTCCGTTTTTCATTCGGACGTACGGAACCCTAATCCGAAAACCAACTTAATTGTAGTTGAAAAAAAAACATGTTCTCCCATACATTCAAACTGCAAATGTATAAATTTGTACGCACAATATTGTTTTGCTGAACGATTTACCAAGTTATAAAATTTCAGGTACAGTAATTTCGGTGATAAGGGTGGGGGGATGGTCAATTTTCGTCTATTTTTTTAGATAACTTACAACTACTTATTTCAAGATTATAAAAAAATATATTTGAAATCCTTATCGAAATTTCAATTTAATCGGTTCATTAGATTTAGAGCAAATTGACTGTTACAGACGGACAGACAGACACATGAGTTCCGTTTTTTATTTGGACGCGCGGAACCTTAAAAAAGTAAGAGAATACAAAAAATGTCATTTTCTTTATTAGGCCGGAAAGTTTTCAAACTACCAACCTTATTGTACATAATTTGCAGCTTTTTAGGTAAATACGTCATTTTTGTGCTGGGCCTACTAATAAAATATTACTAAAACGCCAAAACGTTGATTTAATTCGGAAACAATTAAAAAAAATATATTTACGTTCTGCTTGCAAAGCTCCTTTCAATGATTATGTTTATAGTGTTTATAACTTTAAATAAGATTTGCGCCTCGAGGCTAAGGATATTATTTATAAATTTGAAATTGATATCTCATTGTCATTTGGTTTAGAAATTAGAAGCCTGACAGTGTAACGAACAGACAGCTTTGCCACAACTATCAAATACAAAATTAAGATCAAGGAGGATAATAAAAGAGTCTGTAGTAGTAAATAAACTAAATGGAATTCATACCTAGTTACTTTTTACTGACTTTTAAAAAAGCAGGCACTTGTTTCGTCCACTTTAATCGTGGATTTTATTAACGTGAGATTTGTCTTTTATGTCACTTTTTAACTAAAATATTTTTTTTTGCAGAAAATCAAAGGGAAGTGCACGTTAGTAGACGGTACAGAGGTTTCTTAAGAAAATGGTGAGTGATTATTTTATAAAGAAGATTTAATTATGTAAATTAGTTGATCAGTGACTGCGTTCTTGTTGACCATCATTTTAACGTATGTGAAAAACTATGGTATAGTCCAAGTTTTACAACAATCAAAAAGCGATGAAAGTCTTGTTTGTATCATTCATTGAAGTTATTACTATAACAGACTTGATATGAGTCGATTTACCAACTTTTAGACTAAAAAGTCATAGCAAATTTGCCTTAAGACAAACAATTTTTTATTGGAAGGTTTTCATGTTACACAATTTTCGGAAAAAAATATTGAAAATGATGTTCAAGAATTGATGGATTCTACTTTGAGAGTAACTACTGGTTTGATTATATTATTAAAAAAAAATGGAAAATATGTACACCACTACAGTTTTGTCAATAGTTATTAATACACTCCTACTGTTTTATAGAGTTAGCAATTTTAAGGCGTGCATTTACATAATATAATAGATAATATACACGAAGTTGAGTGATTAGTACAAGATCACATAATTGAGAATCTATTTACAATTTTATGCATTTCAAGCGATATTGCCAGTTTAAAAGCGAGATTAGATTACATTGGATTAAATTACATTTGAGTTCATTAGTTTCCGGTTAGATTAGGCTACGTTACTTTCATTTGTACGATAACACTTTGATTTTACATTTAATGTTATTTACCTATTTCTGGGAGGCATTAGTCATAAGTCTTATATATATAGATATATTATTATTCAAAGGGTTTTCTCCACCTTCAAACATGTAGTTCTACCCTAAAAAATAGTTTTTCGAAGGTAAAAAAGTTTTTAATTTTTATCTGAAGTCTCATTTCTAAACAATTACCTAAAATATTGAAAGCGGAAGTAAATTTCTGTGTTTTCGTAATGTTTATGTTTGACTCCACTGTGCGTTTACACGGTTGGTGCGTCGTCCTGGCGAGTGGTGGCAGTAGCTGAAAATTTGCTCAAATAATAATCTGATTGGTTGGACAAACATCGGAAACAGAGAGGGAATGGGATAATGCATTAACAAATAAAGTGATTGAAGATTAGCTGTCTGTGAAAAGCCCACATATCAATTCAAAATAAAAAGATAACTATAAAGTGATTAATAACAATATTTTTTTCGCTGTATGCGTCTGCTTGCTACTATTTCAGCTAAAAACAATATTTTATTATTATTTTTACATAAAATAAACCATAATTGACCCTTTCATTGATTATATTCCGAAATCTCGATGTCCTTTTTATGGATTTGTTAAATTTTGTTTTGGCAAGTAACTAAATTATGGAAATGAAAGAAATGCTAACTAATAAGTATTTATTTGTCAAAATAATATTTTTATTTAATTTTACTTCTGAGTATTGCTCCTATTCGCTCTTATTAGCGAACAGCGGCGACCGCCGAGGCCAGACGCACCAATTCTCGTACTGCGCTGGAATTCTAACCACGTGCTTTCTAACTAACTTAACCTAATTTAATTTCGTACTGTTAAATGGTAGCTAGCTATGCGTGCGCAATTTCCGTTGCATGTTAATATTTTACTCTTAACGTTCCATAAGAAGGATAACTTTGAAAAATGTAAACAAATCTCGAAAGTATCTGCTACAACAGAGGAGGCTGATAGTTTTAATCTTTGCCTTAAGTTCGGTCTAATTTATTAAGAAATAAAGATCTTTTAGGATTTCGAATTCAGAACATACTCTAATTTGGTCTCCAATTGCATAGTTAATGGTTCCATCATGTAGCAAAGTTTATGGCGAATTTTTTTATTTCGTATTTACCTACATATTCTTTGCCGATATTTATTTCTTAATAAATTAACCTAATTCTTTGACAAAAATCAGATATAATACTTTTCCAATCTACCGAATCTCGATCCTGAAAAAAGCTTGAGACAAAAATTACATTCATGTCTAAATGAAACATATTTTACTTACTAATATTTTCAAATATTTTATTATAACATAGGAAGTTTGAAAAGTGTACAAACCGACATAACATGTTTTAACAAAATGTACAAAGTATCTTCATTATGTCCTAACCCAATTCGGCTGTCATCCATCGAACATTTTTATTGATGTTTAAAAGTGGGTCATTTCGCGTGCGATATTCACCTTTGATGGTTGCCCGTCTTACGTTTGCGAGTTTAGTGCCTAAATTTTTGATGTTGTGAAGTTGCCGCATAATACAAGGTGCATAATAAAATACCTATAACTACTTATATACACGTTTTTTTATTTTTTATTTGCGAATACACAATAATGATTTACAAAAGCTTGCTTTGAGGATTACCACGTATTTACAAATGTGATTAATAAAACATTCTAAAAATACTAATTGGAATTATCTGACGGCGATTGTTAATCACTTATAAAATCTTGAAATAGGGATACGAAATAGGGATACATTATTTATTTGTGTTTCATCTATTTTGGCCATCCGTTTGAAGAATATTTAGAGAAAGCACATGCATACTAAGCCGTTGGTTATCGACATTTGTGATGAGCAAAACAAGTGTGTCGCGATCTAAGTGTCGGTCTTGGTTTTGCTCAAATACTTTTAGTTTCGGCCTTGGTCTAGGTCTTGCTGATATAGTCTTGTTAAGTTTTGGTTTTGCTCATTTAATCTGATACGTTTTTTTTTTAATAATTCTTCTAAGCACAGATTTTTCTATTTACCGACTCAATAATTGACTTAAATGCTGAAATTTCCTGTCATACATGCGAGCTTGTTATGACTTTTAAAGAAAATAGTGTTGATAGTTGTCAAAGTTATGAAAACTCGAGAACTTGCTCTTCCTCCGGTGCATAACTTGACCCATCCTCTAACGCACTGACGTTTTAGTGAACAAAATTGTACAAGGTACTTGAAAGAAGTAAAAAATATCGTAAAAAAATTAGTTTGCCTTTATATTTCAAGTAGGTGTTATCTAGACACACGAACAAAGAAGACTCACTTCGAGGACGTTCTTGTAGATCTCATATTTCAAACAGTTGTTTTATATTTAATGTTCAAATCTAGTAAAGCAAACTGAAAATTTCAAATACTAAAGTTGCTTCAAATAGTTATACTCATAAATACACCGGAAATAATAATTTTTCGTTTAGTCTTGGGTATTTGGTTTTGGTCTTGCAAATTCAGTCTTGGTTTTAGTCTTGGTATTGTTAGTATAAAGACAGTTTTGATATTAGATTAAGATTAAGACTGCAAGACCATGATCAGTTTTGCTCAAAACTAATGGACATCAAAATCGATAAAAATTTTGGTCATTTTAGTAAAAACGATTGGACATGCATTTGAATCTCTACATCTTTTGCAATACGTTGCTATAAAAACACCCTCAAAACCTATTCTTTCAAATTACCTAAACACATTTCAGAAGTTTTAGTGCTGAGTCAAAACTCTTGGTTACCATTTTCTCCATAAATACGTATACTGCACCGTCCTATAGTACCTACATGTTTTGCGTTACGTTTTTAAAATATTGCAGTTGAAAAGATAGTAATTAGAGTTCTTGTATGAATTACATATCATAAGAAAAATAAAATTTAAACTAGAACGTAAACGAAAATTTTATTGTGTCTTAAGACTGGTTGGACAGGCACCTTCATTCTTTCCTATCATGAGCTAATCTTCGCATTTCCCTGAAACTAGAACAACTCACATCCTTAACTATTTGCGAAAAGTAATCTAATATAGGTCTACCTCTACCCCTCCTAACTCTTGTTTCTGTCTCTAATGTATCTGACTAGACCTTCATGCCTGAGAAGGTGTCCTACTAACCTATCTCGCCTATTTCTTATTAACTTTCATAGAGTCCTCAGTTCGCTTATTCTTTCTAATACCTCTTCATTTCTAACCTTCTCTATCCACGGTATTCTCACCATTGTAACACCACATTTCGAAAGTTTCTAACCTTTTCTTTTCCGCAGCGCCCACCGTCTATGTTTCTTACCCGTACAGCGCCGCGCTCCAAACATACACCTTTAACAATCTTTTTCGAATTTCTAAATTAACCGTTTGCGAGCGTAGAAGTAACTTCTTTTAATTGAAGACGACTCGACCCTGCGCTATCCTCTGCTTGATATTCCTACTACTCCTTCCGTTCTGACATATCTGACTTCCTAGATACCTAAAATCAGCTATTCTTCTAATTTTTCTCTCTCCTATCTTTATATTCGCTCTTTCCCTACTTTTTCTTCCCTTGCATACCAGTATTTTTGTTTTACTTTTATTATTTTCATAAATTACTGTTTTGTCAATACCGCTTCCATTTTATTTAAAGCTAATTCTAACTCCTTGCTAGATGCTAATACTACTATATCATCTGCAAATCTAAGTAAACTAATCTTTTGCCCCTGTATATCTATGAATTCGTATTTATCTACTCTTTTAGATTTTTGAAGTATTTCTGACGGTTTCATGAAAATTCATTATATTACCCCTTTGTAGTTGGTTCATATTAATCGCCTTTCATTTTAAAATGGAACGTGTACACGAAACTGTGTGATGAAGGATACGTCTATAATTTTCAGTAATCATGTTACATTTGTGTGAATATATTTATATTTGAGAAAAAAGAAAGTTCAAGAACTTTATATTTTCGGTCATTTACTTTGAAATCACGTCTTGTGTACATTTAATATATCTAAAATAACAAGTTTTATTACTTAGTAGTTGTTGGAGTTAATTAAATTCTGCTACTTTCACCGTTTAATGTGTACAATTAAACAAATTAAGTCTATGATAATCTTAAACGTGAGAATCTTGAGACGAAACGCAATTGTAAATTAAGTTCTTGTGATGTATGGAGGTAATCTTCCAGACAAGTCAGTCAAGCAGAGTATAAAATCTCTCTTTCATCGTTAGTTGACCTACTTCTTGGCAAAATCTTGACGACTTCTTTCAGGTCGCAAAGAACGTCAATAGATACAGTATTCCCGACCGAGTAAACTATAAAAAGGACTCATGCAACGTTGTGTAACTGGACC